AGCTCCGATCAGCACCACTCCAGTCACATTTTTGACGTGGAAAATAGTCTTTCTACTGGCCCTCGCCTCAGGTAGGAGTCGGCCAGAGCTGGGGACCTCAAAGAAACAAGTGGATGTCACTAAACAATATATTATTGATAATGATAGACCATAGATGATGTCACAATTTGCGACGCAAATTCCTGCCGACCTGCGATTTGGCAGTTCAAATATCCTTGTTTTTCGACAATGATAATGTTCACTTCGTTTTTACCTGCTTAACACGAAAAGCTAATGTCCGTTAAATGCACGTAACGTGTACGTAAAAGTACGTTTAACGTGCGAAACCTGCCCGATTTTGTGCACTATTCCGCTGACAACGTCGGCTTTGAATAAAAGCGCCGACCACGCGCGTTGGAAATAAATACCGTCATCGCCTTATTGTTTCGAACACCAAAACAGCAACATTGCCAGCTAAGTTGCTGACTGCTTTGGTGTACGCGTCTAAAGATTGTCTTACTTGACCTCCTAGGATCAACTCATTTTTAAGAGGGGCGCTTCTCGACTCAATGTGGACTCTAGTTAGCACACCGCTATTTCTCTCAGTGTGCTTGTTTTGTTTATTATTAAGTAGCTTATGCAATGTTCATTAATATTGATTAATAAAAATAAATTGAACCAATAACTTGATTGTGCCCCCACAATTTATCCATATGACTGACAATGGTTGTGTCGCCAGGAAGCTAACTGAAAATCGAAAGATTGGACTTGCGTGTGTGCTCTGAATCGTATATCGATTGCCACATCTTTCTTACCCAAGCCAAATGTACCAAATTCAGCACAAGCCTGTGCGCCAAGCCTGTATATTTTGTTGCATCAACATATTGAACAAGACACGGCAGTCAATCAACACAAACAGAGCTCGCAGGTATTAAATTCTGGGCTATATGGAGGCTGAAACAAGAGTGACCTGTCTGGCATCGAGCATCTCACGGAGAACGGGTTCGGTGAAATTACCGCGATGAAAACCACAATTGTCCATCACAACAGTGTCGCCTTCTCCAACTTACGGCTGACCATCTACTGCTAAACAGCTCCAATCCATTTGAAGGACCGCAGAGAATATTGAAATGGGTCACACCAACTTGATGCGGGCTATGCAATAATTCACGGTAAAATTTATGTTGGTTGTGTAGTATCGTTGCACTTCCACTGCCGGCTGACATACTGGAACATGTCCACAGACACGATTGCTCGCCGTATCAAAAAAAAAAAAAAGAACACGGAAAAGGGTCAAGTTGAGAAATCATGTCGATATAATTCATGATTCTGTCCATGTTATGTTCCGTCAGCTGTTCTTTCGGAATAGACGTAATTTTTTATATGAGTAGTCTAAATCTCGCTTGAATGTGTGGTATATGTTTTTTGTGGATGGCAGTGTGTTGGGTGTACAAATACCCTCATCCAACAGCTTTCCTTTCCTTTCACTTCGCTAGCTGACTTAGATGCTTTGTTGGCCTTCAAAAACTCAATAAATTCCACTACTTCGGTGATTCCATTGTACGTGAGCGACTGGTCGACTTAGAGGCGCGAGTTGATCCCGTTTCCCTGAGTTTTTCCGAGTCGACTATGCCGTGTCTATAGTACTGATCGATCTCCCAGTCTCATTGGCTAAATATCGCAGCGAAAATCCATTCAGCCACTGACGTACTATATATGACCGGGTTGTATGATGAAAGAACCTAGATTTTTGCATTGTGAAATTATTAAAATAGTCGTGAAAAGAAAATTACGAAATTGTTTTCCCCCGATTGGACAACGCGATGTAATAATAAACTTGTGCGCAAAACTTCAACAGAAAGAACGTTCCATTATAATTTGGGGGTTGCCGCTTTTAGTGCGGCACTGTACATACAGAGTGTCTCATTCACTGTAATATTTGGCAACGTACACGGAATATTTAAATACATTGAAATTGGGGGTATAATCCTTGAATCGATTGCCAGAACACTTGACTTGTGTGTGTTCCTCGCAATGAGTGCGACGTCTCCTTTTGGTGTTAGTTTGATCCAAGGGGAGTCAAGTAAGATAACCGTCTTTAGACGCGTACACCAAAGCAGTCAGCAACTTAGCTGGCAATGTTGCTGTTTTGGTGTTCGGAACAATATGGCGATGACAGTAAAACATGTTGTGAGACAGTTTCGCCAGCCTCTATCACTCACGCACACACGAGTGCTATTTCCGTACATTGAATATTGAACCGGAAAGAACAAGTTTAAAGCGGGAGGGTCGTCACCTGCGCACGCGCGGGAATTGAGTCCCAAGCGACGATAACAACACACACTAACAACGCAAAGGCTCATGGGCAGACGCTTGTTTGTTAACAATGACACGCTATGACCATCTGACGCATGCACAGGTGACGAATCCCCCGCTTTAAATCATATTTGTATTATTACAAGTCTCAGAAATGTATCACTGGCAGCGTTTGTTTTGTCACACAACTGAAAGTCTAATATTACTTTGTTTTGACTGTAAACGAAATACCCCTTTTAGCGGAATTGAAATACAAAAGTAAATAATGCAAGATCCAAACTGCAACTTGAATGCAGTCCAGATGGAAATGAATTACATCCTTGATTGCGCCCATATAGTCGAGAAGGGGCTATTTTTGTTGTTTTACAAATAAATTCATAGATTTTCCCCACTTGATAGTTTCTTATGTCATATAACAACAAGGACATCTATAAATTTATTTACCTTTGAATGTCAAAAATAATAGCATAGAAATTATTTATACTTTTCACGAAAGGTGATTTTGCACGCAAATAAATTCCAAGCGAACATTTAATTATATGTCATGAATAATAATTAGTTTCACATAAAGTGTAATGAATGAAAGAGTAGATAATAAAGTAGACGCAAAACAAACTACAGAATATCCATAGTTTATAGCATTTCTGTAATGCCCTCCACACCTCGTGATGTCTGCTAGCCTAGTGCAGACCGATAGCACAGAAACATGTACTAGTGTTTGGGAGAAGATTATGGAGCGTGGATGAATACATGTCTTGCATCATTTTGAGATAGGATAAGACCCGTATCGTGACATATTTTTACTGGCCATGTATTGAGCAACTAACCACACTAATGGAATGACCATTTATTCAGACAAAACAGAAGGGGGGGTCAGCGTATTTTCCAACTGAAAGCCACAAGGGTGATATTGAGGCACGTGCCGAGATCTCTGATGTGAACGACACTATTGTTTTTACTTTACGCCCTTTTTATTGAACACAAAATAAATAAACTGAATACATTTAAATATAATAAAATAAAAATAAACATGAAATCTCAGTACATGCAAATCCCTTGTGTTTAAAAATGTGTAAATATAATTAAAATAAGTATCCATTATTGCAAAACAGGTCTTATCAAAGCTGAAATCCATCTTCACTGCCACATAAACCACTGGCAACAAAACATCACCAGGAGCAACATCCTCATTGCCACCATTGCCTTGGGTGCATAACCTTGTTCAGTGAAGAGACTGTTCTAATTTATAACATGGACTTTATTGAGGCAAGTGAGTAAAACTGTATAGTAGAATATAAATTTCAAAATATTATATGTCAATTTGTGTATTTCAATTCACAGAAATGAAATCTGCCGAAAAAGCATAGTGGATTGCTTGTAGTAGTAGTAGTAGTAGTGTTTATTTATCAAAATGCTTTTTCGAGGCGACAGTTTTTCTCTACTCAGGCTGTTTATAGTAAAACATTTTATCTGATAAAGATATATCCACAAATTAGACAGACTAAAGTTCTTCATGTAAAAGATCAATAAAAACACATGAAAATATATATATAGAGGGGGGTTTACACATTTTTCACTTTTTCTAAAGGGGGTGCCCTCTTTTACAAAATGAGTAAGGGGGGTCCATTGATTTTGATTGAGTATTGCCCGACCCTCCCTCAGGAATAATAAATGGTCATTCCCTAATTGGCCAAACATTTGAAATCATGGGAGTGATAACCGGTGCATTTTTTTACGTTGTGTTATCTGTATATTTGCATTATTCTTGAATGTACCCTGTGGCACTTTGAATGCATTTTTCTCTGTGAATCTAGCTTGCAAATTTAACTTCCGGCCAACCCCCTGATTCCATGTGATCGTTGGGCCCATGTGCCCCGAACCTGCGAGTGCGTCTCGCGCGTCGTCATATATTTTCCCAAATATTATGTTTTGGCCAGGAGGAGTGTGACAATGGCTGTCACGGCATAGTTAATTTCCTCGACAAAGTTAACATTCCAGGCACGAAGCCCGAATTTATTTTTCAGAACATGTCGGTCTGTTAAATTTCTCTCCTCCAATAATTCACAAACATGTACGGTATATATTTTCTCCAATGACGCAATATCGTCATAGAAACATTCAGGAAGACCCAGACACTTCACTCCCTAGAGATTGTCTACCAATGCTCCACTTAGAAAAAAGTTCGCAAAATTTGAGTCAATTAGCCACCTTGTTGACGCATATTCGAAACTACAATTTAAAAAAACTTCTATGCGATTAAACAGAATCCCGTTATAATGATTACTTTAATGTAAAACTCTGGCAACATTTAACGTTGTCGCGCGTAACAATACTGCGATGTTGTTTGGCTCACGGTGCAGTAGTTCAAGATGGCGGCGTACTGACATTTTGTTTTGATATCAAAATAGTACAGTTTCACAAGCCAATTCCTCTTCGGACCGTTTTATATTTACAATAATTCCAGTGCATTATTAACATCGGCGAGTATTTTTGTTGCTGTGTCCACTATTTTGATCATAAGTCCTGTCGAGTGATGAGTATCAACAATTTTTTTAGCATGATCTGCAGCTAGTTGATCTTCGCATCGGAGGACACGGTCGAACCAGCAACCACTGCAGTCTGCAGAGTCGACACGTACAAAACCATCTCACCTGTGAATTGTGTGATTAAATCCCCTGTGAATCTATCGGTGATCTATGTCCATGATGGCGGTCGCCCGACCAGTTAACCAAGGCAAAAACGGGATTAGAACAAATGGCATCGTTGTGCCAGAAACCTTGGTGGCCCCGAAGAAAAAACAATCTGTCCCGAATCACCTCCTCGAAACAAGTAAGCTTCAATAGCGTGTGTAAATGTTGATAATTAATCGCTGTGATGTATTTAATTGAGTAAATTTTCTTTTAAATCGCTTACGTTTTTAATTCATGTCATCTGTGTCAAAGTACAATAAAACAAAGATATCAACACAGTTGACGTGTTGTTATTAATTGTAGCATTGACGTCCATGGTTGTAGTAACTAGCAATTAAAAGTATCAGTGCAAGCAATTCTAAAATTAATTACATGTATGTTTCATTTACTTGACCTCATAAATGGGTCAACTAACAATTGACTATGAACCATGGAATCGATGTTAACTTATTATGTAACTATTCATCTGCAGTAACAGCATGAAACCATAGACTGATGAGGAAGCATACTAATTCATTATTTTGACATGTCCAAAAATATAATTTACTGAATATTTCAAAAACTTGTTGTGTGTACATCTTTTTTAATGTGTTAATTAATATTTTTCACTCATAGAAATCTTCCACAAAGTGAATCAGAACAGTCTTGTACAAGCCAGACCTGGAGTTGTTCATTTTGGTGGATATGATTTGGCTAATCTGCATAAACAGACATTGGTAAGTAGATTTTTTTTTATGATATGATTTGTAGTGCTCACACTAAGTCAAGTAGAGGATAAGATTTAAGCTAATCTCATATTGTGATCATGCACAGAAGCACAGTCCTTCTATCCCCAGTCTGGAAATGCTTGGCAGTGTAGTGTCCCAGGGCTGGTTGTGGGTAAATAAACTGTTCACAGCATGGACAAGTAGCCACAAAGCTGAGCGATCACAAACCAAAGCATTGCAATTACAAACTGCAAACAGAACAGAACAGAATATGTTACCGTGATCATGGGATGAACCACGTACCAATTTCCTTTGATCTATCTGTTTTGCCGATGATTATTTTGAAGTAATAAATAAACATTGATGTTTATTTTTAATAACGCTTAAGATCGTAACCGCGTAGCAGGGTGATCCCTAAATCTGTCTACATAGTGCGTTTGACAGTTCTCAAAGTCGTTCAGCACATTTTGGTCATCATATGGTCATGTGACATTTTCCCCTAAACAAAGGTCACTGCTGCTGAAAGTGAAAACGGAGTAACAAAAAAGAAGCAAGTTGACGGCTTGTTTTAAACCTGCTATCTTGTACTATCACTAATGTTGACCACGGTAAAAAACAGGAATAATAAAAATTCGGATCTGATATTAAACTTGTTTGTCGCAAATCAAGGTAAAGTTGAAATATTATATGATACACATGTAACAAATTAAAGCAAAAATTTCAAAAACCACCAAGAAAGTACTGTAACTTCCCGATCGTCAACAAACTTTTGTCGATTTGATTTATTTCCCGTGTTTGAAAGGTCACCTGTCACGTGGGGCGAACTGCGATGTACACACCCCTTTTAATGACGGCAAGACTCATCCAATTACTTTGATCTTGTTTTATCATGTTTTATCAAAATGTTCATTGGTAAGACAAAGGATTGAAGAGGATTTTAACACATTATAACACCAAAAGTAAACTTTCTTGAGTGCCTTTTTAATCCACTTACATGTAACACAGTGGTTCACCCTTTGTCAGTATTTCCATGCCATGATTTATCAAAATACGAACATCCTAGAGAAAAACTAACCACAGTCATCACCAAAAAGTATCTATTCAAATGAAAAAAAAATATCATGGTTGAATGCTGTTTTCTTACTATAAAAGGGGCCAACACGCTGACAACGCGCCAAGGAAGTTCAGTAAATCAAAAACAAAATGGTGCCCCTAAATTCTCATCGGGGCAAAATATTCCTGGCAGTGCTAAAGATTGATACTGCAGGTCACCAGCAAAATTGTAAACTACATTCCAAATATATGCTTGAAAACAAAAATAATAACACGAACATTTAAAATGCAATGAATCGGTGATAAGCCATCTTTATTTTAAACGGAAAAGTTGAATGCCTAAATAAGATATTTTTACATTGATCTTTCTAAAACACATGACAAATAGAGCCAATCAAGGTTGATCAAAATATTTAGTTTTCTGCGATTGTAAAAACTAGAATATGCAGAGAACAATGAATCAATCATCCAATAGAATGCTGTGTGTGCTATCAAGAGACTATGCTTCGCGGAAAGGCATACCCTGGGCGGTCCAAACACTGGGGGTACTTCACACCTTAGACAATAGTCATTTCCAGACCAGGGATGAAGGGACTGTGACAGAAGAAGGCTATACAACGCCCAAACTTGTTGAAAATATACAAAAATCTTTACCGGTAGTCATTTTAACTATGATTACTCAATATAGTAAAAAAAGATACACATGTTAGTTTTATGGTTATACATTTAAAACATTATCACAGCAAGTTCAAGTGCAGATTGCAGAAAAAGTAGCACAGAGTCTCATTGCTATTTTTTTTTTCAAGAACAATCTGTATTGTTGTTCGCGTTGATCGTCATGTCGGAAATGGCATGCCGAAATGAATAGTTATGAATATAATAGTAAATTGTCCAAATGAACATTGAATACAATGGCATATTTAGTGCTTAGCTTGAGCTAATCGTTCATTCACATTTTGTTAGCCTGTACTAAGGGTCTGGAAAACATGCTAAGGGTATTAAAAAACAGGCCAAAATTTATCTTTACATTTCTTAGCTCATGCTAAGTGTTCACACAAGTTTGCTCAGCACGAGCTAAGGTATTTAGCCCGTGCTAAGTAGCTGTGCGTGAACGCTTCTATTATCAATAGCAAAATACCAGTGGTATCTCTCTGATTACTTTTTTAATGCATTGTCATGTTGATTGCAGTCTTTTCTCTATATTTGTATTTTTTCACACACTAAGTATTACGATGCAAATTGCTCTAAAAGATGCTTGTACATGTACTTTTGTTGGAGGCAAAGTTTTAAGGGATTTTATAGGTCATGGAAAATTATTTTGTGTGTTTAGTTCGAAAGCTCAGTGTAAATGTCTCTGGTATTGACAGGCAGAGTTGCAGTGAAAATGTCCCTGTTACAGGTAGTGTCATGGTGAAAATGTCCCTGTTACAGGTAGTGTCATGGTGAAAATGCCTCTGCGATTGTCAACAGCCAGTGTCATTGTTAATATATAAATGATCCTGTAATTGTTAACAGGCAGTCACAGTGAAAATTTTCCTACGGTTCTTAAAAGTTTTATTGGCAAAATATTGTATGAATAGCCCGACTGAGCAGATCAATCTGGTAGTTTTCAGATTTTAGGTTACCATCAAGTCACTGAATTACATTCTATGGGCTATATTATGTATAAAATAAATATTCAATGTGAAGTCTGAGATGTACATCAGACTCTCTGAGTTGTTTCCTGCATAGCCATTTTGAATTTTTTTAGCACTGCGTCAAATAAACTTTGAAAATCTAATATTACATTTCCTAGGTTAGTAGTGTTTAGTGCATATCCGAAGCTGAATTGGAACAGCAACGCATGACAATATTTGTAGTCGAGACAATAATTCAGTTGATAAATGGCACAATGATAGTTGATAGTATACTATAATTTGGAAACTTGTATACAGTTCATGCTATATATACTCTAAATACCTTAAATAGTAATTTGGTTCTAAAATAGGCATCACACACTGTTTGAAAGTGTACAGTCAAACAAACAAAAAGTTTGGGTTTCCACATGTTATATGCATAGGTTTTAATTTTGTTGGTAACGAAAAGTATAGTCTAAAAGAAGTTTCAAATAAAAATATACATTAATGCATTGCTTAGTAGCAAATGATCACAGTAGCGTAATCTGGTCATTCTGTGTTTTCATAGGCAAATATCTTACTTGTTTTCAAGGTGTTGCAAACCATGATTATTACTCAGTCGTAACATTAATAAAATCAATACACTCTACCGGTATGTGATTCTGTATCTGCCATTTGTTTTTCCAGACATTGTCCCAACCACCATAGCTCATTTATGTTAATATGGGTTCAGCAACCTCAAATGAATGTCTATCACAACATGGAAGGGATTTACCAAAGTTGCAGTACCATCTATTGGCATAGTTTTTATTTGGAATATTTAGTGGGAATTTTTTTAAATAAGAAAATTAGTAATTTTTGAAAGATAAACTGAGCATTGAAGAAATATGTAACACTTTTTACGGCAATAACAGCTCATTGTCGAAACCAAGTTTATCCATGCTAGTAATCATTGCACTCTGAATAGGCATATGTTCAAATTTCATGCAAAAATATATTTTACACACGTTGTATACGTTGCTATGGGTCCCATATCCTACACAACTCGGCCCTCGGCATGTATTATTAATTGAGGAACACATTGGCTAGTATAATTTATGCCAAATTTTGCCTAGATGTACTATTACTATATACTATTAATTTTTAGGAGTTTTTCTGATGCTGTTCTCATGCTAAGAAAAAATCGTGCATTGCCAGTTTTTATTCATCCAACCATTTTTATTTGCTCCGCTGTCATCAAAGATGACCAAGCGGAGCTCATGGGTTGACCACACCTGTCGTCGTATGTCATACATAAACTTCAAAATGCCAGGTTTCAAATCATAAGTTTTGTACTTGCAATCACAGTATTAATTTTAGTAACCTTAGTAAGTTGTGGTATCATCACTAGTTGCAATAAATTTAGTTGGATAACCACTGATTTCTGGCATTAATTCTTGTTCAGGAAAAATATTTTCCGTCAACTGGCTTATTATAAAAGCCAAAGTTATCAATATTATGCATATACATGTATGCCTGTATAATTTCTTGTACTGAAAAAACCAAGATCAATCAACATATACCATCACATGTATTATCAAAATGCAAGTAGGTATGTACATTTTTCTGGTTAACAAACTATGATTAAAAAAGCAAAAAAAACACACACAACTACCGGTATGTTTATCTTGTTAGACTTGTGTTCACACTAGTGACTTCTGATAATTTAAAGTTAATACCGTGCTGATGTGCATCATAGCGAGGCAAGCATGTTGGAAGTTTTGAGCTAAGTTTTGAGTATGTGTATGTTCTTGAGCACTTAACTAAGCCATATGCATCAACTAACTACTTTGGATGTATTTATCAGTATGATAACCTTTCTTTTCCATCAATGTTTAGTCTGTAGCCATACTATAAACACTTCATGTCGAGTTTAGATTATGCTAATTAGGAAATTGATTTATCATGGCAATACAGTATGTTTAATTAATGCAAGGCTAGAGTTCACTAACACAGAGTTGGCATGGACATAAAATAATGTGTTATTTAAGCCTGTTTTGAGCTGTACTGTAGCGAAACTATCACTACTCTGCCATCTGTGTTAATTGTTGTATTCCTTGAAGTTGGTATCATGTGAAGATATAAATAAATTATCCTTATCTACATGTATATATTCTGGCAATGTTTCTGATGTAAGTTTGGGAATGTTTGGATATGCGTGATTAAAATCTGTATGTTTTGTTTTCACAGCGAATTGCCAACATCTCTGGTGAATGTCTACAGATGCATATAATACCGCCTACGTCGGCTTACTTCCGAGTGAAGTACAAGAAGCAAGAACGTCTCGTGCCGGGGTTAACAATGGATATTATAGTAGAGTTTGTACCAGATGAATGGAGGTATTACTATGATTGTATCCGAATTCATTGCAAGGTAATTAATTCATTTCAGTTAAAGACCTATTTGCCTGGTAGATGAGTTAGTATATTAAAAGCCCATGTCATTCCCCCAATTATATTTGAAGAGGAAAAACGAGAAAATAAAGCATTTTTCAAAAAATTATGAAACCGTATTTTTTTTTTTTTTTTATCATTGATCCAAATTTACTGTGAGCGATGCATTTGGTGAGTAAACACGTTCTCCATACATTTACATATGTTTAGTGACAGACTGGAGACAATTGATTTAATTTGCATACTAATTTGTTAACCATCCAGCTTTATTATATCCATTACGCGATCAAAATCCAAGCACTTAACATTTACGCTGTATTTATTAGATTATAAGCTTTTCAGCCAGTGTAAAAACTGGTGATTCACAATTTTCGAAAGGTAAACTAAATGTGGAGGAAGTATTTAAACACCTTTCACGATCACCAACAGGTCACGTCGAAAAATAGTTTAATCGTTCTCACCCTATTGATGATAGTATCAATGGACACGATTATTCAGAACAATGTTCAAAATTTAATGGCCAGGTTTCATGACTTGACGGACACATTTTTGGCATTTTGAAAGCTATCACTCAAAGATATATGGATTATTTCAGTATTGCAACATCGGGGGTTCATCCTGAGTGAATAACAGAATAGAAAAAGTGTGAACCATGTTGCGTAAGTTCGCCATGCAGTCTAAAATTAATGCAAGTTTTCTAATAAAAGGCATGAATCAAACTACCATATCAATCATGATTGTTATGTAATGAAACACACTTTTTACACATATATTTTAATGAATTTCGTCGACGTCCAGTAAAAACACCCTGGGTCTATAATTGGGGATACCGTCAACATACAAACAAATGTACTGCTGACATGCTTTGACAGATTCAAATTTTATATATTCATTCTTGATACAGATATACAGATATAATATCTGATTCAAAATGGCCAAGTGGCGGCATTGCATTGCATCTGCATTGTGGAACCGATTCTTGGTCGTTTACGGATGGATTTTGTTCAAACTTGTTACATACATTATGGGTCCCTGATGAACGTCATTTTATTTTTCAAATCTGATTCAAAATGGCTGACTGGTGTCCATTTTGTTTTGATGAATGTGGCTGTATGAGCCGTATCTTTGACATGATTTGACTTAAAATTTTATATATTCATTCTACATCATGTTATAGATATGCAGATGTATTCAAAATGGGTGACTATTTTGTTTTAATTACTGTCATTGCCATATTGTTTCGAACACCAAAACAGCAACATTGCCAGCTAAGTTTCTGACTGCTTTGGTGTACGCGTCTAAAGATCGTTATCTTATCTGACCCCCTTGGATCAAACTAACACCAAAAGGAGATGTCACACTCCTTGCGAGGGACACACACAAGTCAAGTGTTCTGGAAATCGATTCAAGGATTACACCCCCAATTTCAATGTATTTAAATATTCCGTGTACAATGCCATATATTACAGTGAATGAGATATCAAAATATAAGACACTGTATGTACAGTGTCGCACTAAAAGCGTCAACCCCCAAATTATAATGGAACGTTCTTTCTGTTGAAGTTTTGCGCACAAGTTTATTATTACATTGCGTTGTCCAATCGGGGAAATTTTTTTTCACGACTATTTTAATAATTTCACAATGCAAAAATCTAGGTTCTTTCATCATACAACCCGGTCATATATAGTACGTCAGTGGCTGAATGGATTTTCGCTGCGATATTTAGCCAATGAGACTGGGAGATCGATCAGTACTTAATAGACACGGCATTGTCGACTCGGAAAAACTCAGGGAAACGGGATCAACTCGCGCCTCTAAATCGACCGGTCGCTCACGTACAAAGGGAATCACCGAAGTAGTGGAATTTATTGAGTTTTTGAAAGCCAACAAAGCATCTAAGTCAGCTAGCGAAGTGAAAGGAAAGGAAAGCTGTTGGATGAGAGTATTTGTACATACATGTACATTCAAGCGAGATTTAGATAACAAAAATTAAGTCTATTCCGAAAGAACAGCTGACGGAACATAACATGGGCAGAATCATGAATTACATCGACATGATTTCTCAACTTGACTCTTTTCCGTGTTCATTTTTTTTATACGGCGAGCAATCGTGTCTGTGGACATGTTCCAGTCGGTCAGCCGGCAGTGAAAGTGCAACGATACTACACAACCAACATAAATTTTACCGTGAATTATTGCATAGCCCGCATCAAGTTGGTGTGACCCATTTCAATATTCTCCGCAGCCCTTCAAATGGAATGGGGCTGTATAGTAGTAGATGGTCGGCCGTAAGTTGGAGAAGGCGACACTGTTGTGATGGGCAATTGTGGTTTTCATCGCGGTAATTTCACCGAACCCGTTCTCCGTGAGATGCTCGATGCCAGACAGGTCACTTTTGTTTCAGCCTCCACAAAGCCCCGAATTTAATACCTGCAAGCTTTGTTTGTGTTGATTGACTGCCGTGTCTTGTTCAATATGTTGATGCAACAAAATATACAGGCTTGGCGCACAGGCCTGTGCTGAATTTGGTACATTTGGCTTGGGTAAGAAGGATGTGGCAATCGATATACGATTCAGAGCACACACGCAAGTCCAATCTTTCGATTTTCAGTTAGCTTCCTGGCGACACAACCATTGTCAGTCATATGGATAAATTGTGGGGGCACATTCAAGTTATTGGTTCAATTTATTTTTATTAATCATTATTAATGAACATTGCATAAGCTACTTAATAATAAACAAAACAAGCACACTGAGAGGAATAGTGGTGTGTTAACTTGAGTCCACATTGAGTCGAGAAGCGCCCCTCTTAAAAATGAGTTGATTTGAGGAAGTCAAGTAAAATAACGATTTTTAGACGCGTACACCAAAGCAGTCAGCAACTTAGCTGGCAACTTAGCTGTTTTGGTGTTCGGAACAATAAGGCGATGACGGTAATGCTGTTCCACAGCAATATTTCTCAATATGGATAAGTATTCCTTTGACGATCAGATACAAGATGACTGAATGTCAACCATTTCAGTGTTAACCAATCACCATAAATCAAGCATCAGCTTCTGGATCCATATCTCTGACATGATTATGTTTGTACTATATTACTATAAACAAAATTATATATCTTAAGTTTGATAACTAACAGGGACAGTGTCATGCATGGCTTGTATTTTTCAGATCGGATTCTAAATGGCTGACTTGTGGCCATTTTGTTTTAATGAATGCTTTTCTAGAGCCATATCTCTGGCATGCTTTGACTGATTATGTTCAAATTTTATATATTCATTATATAAATGTACATCAATTTTATCATGTTATACATGTAGATCCAGAAATTGATTTGCAATTGTACATGCTACATATACAGTGTACATGATATATTGTCAACAGCTGACTGGTGATTTTGTGTCTCACACACTTCAAAGTAATTTACAGGCAGTGACAATCAATTATAAAACCTGACAGACTCTGTAATAAAACTATTTAGGCATGCCTGTATAAAAAATTCATACATGTATTTGTGATGAGAGACATTTGTATTATATCTATGAATAAGCCATGCATTGCTCAGTTTACATTTAACAAATTCAAGATAATATATAGTTTTGTTTATAGTAATACATGTATACATGTAGTTGGAACATAAACATGTCAGAGATATGGATCCAGAAGCTGATGCTTGATTATGATGATGATCGTCAAACGACTACTTGTCTATATTGAGAGATTTTGTTCGGGAAGAACATTCATTAATACAAAATGGCCGCCAGTCAGTCATTTTGAATCTGATCTGAAAAACAAAATGACGTGCCTCAAGAACAAATAATGTCTAATGTATGTACCAAGTCGTAACAAAATCCATGCATAACTGAGATCAGGTTCCAGAATGTCGGAAATGCTTGATTTTTGATGATTTTTTAGCAGAAAAATGGCCACCATTCCGTCATTTTGAATCAAATGGTCAAACCATAGACCTATTTAAAGTCTATGGTCAAACCAATACATATACATGTATAAATGTAATAACTATAGGCTGCAATCGTGATGCTGTTATATTTTACCAGATGCTGTTACGTTTTTGCAAAGCTTACATTATCTGTCTAAATTTTCTAAATCACTATGCCCCACAAGTTGTAATAATATTTAACAGAAATCAATACAATTATTCAAATCACATAAGGGATCACAGTTCAAGTTCTCAAACAATCCCATGTATAGCAATATGTTGAACAGTATTTGGAAGCAACTTTATCTAGTGTCCCAGAAATACATGTACTGACAGAATAAAACACTCCAAACCATTAAAACAAAACTTTAAGCATTGCAAGTGATGGTGTAGCAATGCTGACACGACATTGTAGCGAAGCCGAGTGTTTGTTGATACAAACCTGAAGCAAAGCTGCAGCTAAATAAGCCGAATCCAATGCAACAGCCATACTGTCAAAACTTAAAAAAAAGTTGGTGAAATACTGCATAAGCATAAGTTTAAATGACATTTTTTATTCGGTTTTACATATAAAAGTTTGTATGTGCTTTCGCAGTGAAACACACACAGTTATGGTTTTATATACAAGAGTTTCTGTTTGCTTTTTAAGAACACACTGTTTTGGTTTTACATACAAGAGTTTGTGTGTTTTTCCAGACGTTTCTGCACTTTTGCTTGAGGCATTCAAATACACATTCTGTATGATCACTGTGTTATTTCCCATGTTCTACTTTTTTAACAAGATTTGGTTTCATTTGTTGGCAGGATGATGAGAACCTATTAATTCCAATCCATGCCTACCCTGTAATGAACACGGCTGATTTTCCAGAGATTGTTCATTTTCCTCCAGTACCCCTATCTCACAGGTGAGTACTAAATTTTGAGTTGCCGTTACTTCTGTCTTGGTTTGTTCAATAAATAAAATATGTTAAACTTCAAAACAAATCACAGACAGATATAGTTAGTTTTATCATTAAAAAGAAACATCAAGGTGAATTGAAAGTCAGATAGTTGGATTGCTAAAGGAAAATGGCTGGTCATGTGGTCCAACTAATACCGTCCACTTTCGCCTTGGCGTCCAAGGTATTCAACTCAAAATATGTTTTTTAAGAAATATAGTTTTTTAAGTATCATTTATTGAAATTATTCATTTGATGTGAATGAACAGTTGATTTTTGTATTGTATAATTTGATTAATAATGCAGAGCTTTTTTGGGCACTAATGTATGAAGTCTACATTACATTTGACTTACATAGTTATAAGTTCTGGCCCAATTAGGTTTGACTGTATTATACATGTAATTCATCAGGTATGATTTATCGCAACAGTCAGCTGAATGAACATGTATGTGTATCACTGCCCAGTCAGTGGAATACATAAAATGGGCCATGACTGGGTATTTTTCATATGTTCACTGTACTTGTAGGGGAAATATAATCTGATAATTTGATCATATCTTGTACATGCTTGATATAACCATGGTATGCAATTGCATATATGAAATATGTATGCATATAATGACACAACTGTTATGATTTAGAATGAAGAGATTCAGATGTATGACTGTATTAAAATTTGGAGTATGTCAATATGAACAATATTTTGTCCCTTAATATGCATTACCGTAGTCAGCATGCTACTGTTCTCAAAGTGTCAATGAAGTTAATTAAGTGCAACTTTAATTAGGAGTGCAAATTTTATGGTTAGTTGTAGTCTGTTTGATTTAAAAATGATACGTTGATAAAATATTTAAATGTTCATCCAGAGTTGTGTCTTAGCTGGTTACTAAGGTTTATGTTTTATGCTTCATTTTACTGATAATTAGCATTGTTTGTCATTTATATTTTTTTCCCCAGTTTATCAAAAATCATCCCACTCCGTTGCAATGCACCTATAGATTTTGAGTACCAGTTGACTTACCTGGAGTCTCATCCTGCGTTTAGTGTGTCACCACTATCTGGAATAGTGCCAGCTAACGGAGAAGTCAGCATTGCTGTAACATTCACCCCAACAGACTTCATCACCGCACACATGAAACTGCAGCTAAATATATCACAGTTTAACTCTAAACCCCTAGTGTGTACATTCACTGGTGTCTCAGAGCCAGGCTTAGCTAGGTGAGTTGCTCATTTTGACATTTCCTCTTTAGCAACACAACATTGAGTGCTTCGCAACTTAACTTTTCTGTTCTTGTTATATTCCATGCTACATGTATGTTGATTAATATTGTTGCTTATAATTAAATTTGTAGTGTTATTGTAATTATTATATATGTATATTGAATTTGTAGTTTGCTTGTCAAATATAACTGAATGCTGTCATTTACTAGGGATTATTTCAATTTTCAAAAATCTATCACTGTCTAGTTCAATACAGCTTAGTTTATGTAAAAAAAATTACAATGCTACCGGTAAGTAAAATACTTAATCCAACCAAATTAACATTTTAACTTTTTCACCTCTGTTGGAGATATGTACATAAACCCAAGAATGAGTGAAATATACATGTAGGTCAGCCAGAAATTAATTAATTACCCAATTTTTAGTTTTTGCTTGTTCAGAGTTAACCCTAGATAGACCTAAATGTCAAGTCATCATCAGATTATCCTTAAACCCCTATGTCTATGATGTGTATCAATTCAAATATACACATGTACAAATAAACCATCTGTATGCTGCAATGAGATGTCTAACTAATTTTACATTTCGCAGGGCTGAAGTCGAGGAAAGAATGAGAGAGGACACATTTGATGAAGACAGTCCTTTGCTTGATCCACATTCGATATCGCCGGTGAATATGGCAAGGAGGAAGAGAAAGAGTAAAAGTAAGAGCCGGACGGTGCAGCAGCCTCCATTGCAAGAAATTGATTATGCTGGGTTTCGATTTCCAACAAATTTGAATAGTACGCATGCAGTCAGTTATGTATTGAACCAAGAACAAGGAAAGATGAGAGCTAAGGACTTAAGAGATGGTGAGTATGAGTGGTACATATGTTCACACTCCTACTTTTTACCTTGCCCGTACCATCAAAGATGGAAGGGACAGG